GACAATTTATTTTGGAGAGGATGTGGTAAAAGTGGGACACTCCTCCATTGCTGGTGGGAGTGCCAACTGGTTCAGCCACTTTGCAAATCAGTATAGAGATTCCTCAGAAAAATGGGAATAAACATACCACAAGACCCAGCAACTCCACTCTTAGGCATATATCCAAAAGATGCCCATTCTTACAACAAAGATGTCTGTTCCACTATGTTCATAGCAGCACTATTTGTAATAGCCAGAACTTGGAAGCAACCTAGATGACCCTCAACCGAAGAGTGGATAGAGAAAATGTGGTACATTGACACAATGGAGTACTACTCAGCAGAAAAAAACAATGGAATCCTGAGATTCTCAGGCAAATGGATGACACTAGAAGAAACCATCCTGAGTGAGGTAACCCAGTCACAAAAAGAGAAACATGGCATGTACTCTCTCATATATGGATTTTAGACATAGATCTGGGGAGTGCCAGCCTACAATCCCATGGCCAAAGAGTCTGGGAAGCAGAAATTTCATTTAGTGGCTGATCGAAGAAGAGGCAGACTCCCTCGGTTAAGTACTGAGCTGAACTCAAGAAAGCCAGTAACAGAGAGGGAGGACTGATGACCAAAGGGATTAAGACTGGGCTGGTTTAACCCCCAGAAACAGCTGACCTGACAAAGGTTAACTCTTGAATCCCAGGCATCAGCCTGGGAATCCAGCAAGGGACTGATCAAGACCCCCTGAATGTGAGTGTCAGTGAGGAGGCCTAGGTAATATATTGAGCCTTGGGCAGCAGATCAGTACCCATCCCGAGTATACACAGAGACTTTGGACTCCCATCCAACAATGTGAGCTGCACTCTCACCCTGAACTCTTGTGGAAGAGTCTAGGCCCTGCCCTATATGAAATGACAGACTATGGACACCCCCATGGAGTGCCTCTCCCTCCCTGGGGAAATGAGGGGATAATGGGGGGTTGGGGGGAAGGCATCAGAGGAGGGGAAGGAAAGGGAGAAGGACCTGGAACAGACTTGTGAAGCAACCTTGTTTCTTATCTAAATTTAAACTGAAAAATAAATAAATAAATAAAAAGAAGTTTCATGGCAAGTAACTGATAACCATTGAGGATGAAATACTAAACTTACCAGAAATATAAATATGTCAATGGCCAGTAAGAATGACACATAGCACTGCACAATTCTACAAGAGAGACTAATGATGTCATAGAGATATGCAAATTAGATTCTCCAATGGTTGTCATTTGTATATGGAATTACATTATTTATTCCGAGTTTATCAAGCACAATGAGAGGTGATATATGTGACCTTGCTGTCTAAAATTTTCCAAAGTGAAAATACACACCACTTTTAAAAAGCTCATAGTTATTTTCTCATTTCTATGTTTCACTTTTCTTGACTTCACAGAGCCAAACTCTTTGCGTTTCTATTCATGTTTTCCTTCTCTCATGACTGCGGTCATTATTAAATATTTTTAACAAAAATGTTCTTAAAAGAAAGGAAAACTTGAATTAGTGAATGACATTTGTTATCTGATCTTCAGGAAAATTCAACTAAAATGGCAGTGTCTAATTATTTCTGTATAATAAAACTGTATGTATATAATAATATGATTTCATAATAAACCTACAGTTTCTATTAAAAGTTGTCTTTACTTAAGTGCTGTGGAATATATCAATATACAGGTACAAATAAGATATAAGAAACTATTATGTGTAAAATATGGGTAAACTTGCTCTTCCCAAGAACTATTTTATTACCACTAAATGTTTATTAATGTTTCTGCATATGTTCATGGCAGAAATCACAGATAAGAAAAAAAGGAAGGAGCCATCTTACAAGGATGGCATATTAGAAGTGAATTTTTGATGGCCAGCTTGAGAAAAATAAAGAATACAAATGAGTCTATGGGAAAGACATGATGGAAAACACTGAAGTCACAGTATAGTTTTCAGACAGATGAAAAACTCAGAGACATAGAAAGGTTGGGTGGCCACCCTAGGCAAGAAGATAAGACAAAAGCTCCCACAATCCTGAAACCCAGTTGGAGGACCCCCTTTGAAAATGACTCCAGAGAGTGAAGTTAGCGTTGGAGGAGTCCACCTTAACTCTCTGTATTCTTCATATGGGTACTCAGATCCCATCTCGAAAGGTTGCTTATTAATTCGAACTGAGTTTCTTTGGGGGATTGAAAGAAGAAATAAGGACAAATGGCTGAGCATGAGGTGCCTGGGTGAGAAACAAATGCATCAAGCAGTCACAGAAAAGAGGAGGGCTGGACATCAAAGACTGAGAATCCCAAGTGTCTGGGAACAGTACAATAACTGCCAAGCATAGAGATTGCCAACTTTGGTTATCAAGATGGCCTCATGACAAAGATCAACACTCTAGACACCACCACTGGAAGCCATGGCAGTCCCTTCCTCACCCTGGTTCTCCAGGCTAGTTAGCGAAGTTGACTTTTCTTTCTCCATGTGCCACCCAGCCTGCCCCTTGACACTGACTCCCAGCCCCAGTCACCTGTTGTTCCTGTCTCAGTCATTAGCACCATTTTTCCAAGTCTCGAGTCTGAACTGAACCTCGGCAACATCACCCAAGCTCACGGCTTTGTGGAACTTTCTGTGAGCTTTGTAATTTGGGAGCTGTGTGGTGGGACAGGGACTAGAAGCCCTGTTCTGAAACCGAGGCCTCTGGCTGGTGGATGAGTCGGAAGAAGACTGCCTTTGACCGAAGAAGGTCAAGAATTTCTTCATTGCAGAGCTCCATACCTACCCCCCATCCCTGCCCTCCTTCCTGTGGGCTTTTGTTCCCCCTCAGGGAAAACACAATGATACTGTTATGAATAAAACAGCAAGTAAATTTGCCACCAGTACCCACAACTATGGCAAAGCACCTACAGGCAAGCCCTGTAGGGTAGAATCCCAGTAGAATGGGTATTCCATTCCACCATCACCTAGCAACGCTTCTAAACACAGACAATCCTACCACTGGGACAGCATAAGTCAGAGAACTGTGACAGATCAGGCATTCTAACCATGCTTAACTGCCTATGTGCAAAACCTGGTCCCTGAAGTATCTCAGCCTATTGTAGCCTTCAAACAACAGAGGCATTGAATAGCCAAGCAGCATTTGCTTAAGAACCCTTGAGACTACACAGGTTGAGTCTCCATGTGCACTTTCCTAAAACCTGCCAGTCACATTACCCTTTGCCTGACTTTTCTTCTGAGGCAAATGCCACCTAACCCCCACTGCTATCTACAAGGGTGAGGTGGGGGTGGGGTGTTAGCACCACCAGGCACAGAAGATGACTTTAGTGACTCCAGAAGCAGTGGCATGAGTTACTTCTTTGCAACTTTCTCAGTGGAAACATGTGCACCAGAGGACATGTGAATCGTTTCATCGAAATGTTTCATTATGGTTGTACCTGATGACACACAAAGCCATCATGCCCCATGTTGCCTGCCCCATTTTCTGCCCTTTGGCTCAGTTTTGCCTTCCCTATTCCTTGTTGTCAGATGAGTCTCCTTCAGTTAGGAACTGATGTAACATTTTCAACATTTTAATTTTTTAATCCTTTTGCCCTCGTGGGTCCTAGAACTCCATTTGTTCTTTTGTTAATTATGTCAATTTGAAGTTTGTCTGAACATGAGCCTAGAAAAGAATCAGTAAACTGTGGTCAGCTTCCACGGTCTCTGCCTGACTTCCTTCTGTAAGCTTCCTGTCTTCAGCTCCTGCTTTGGCTTCCGGTATAAACTGAAATGACCCCTTTCCTCCTCCAAGTTAGTTATTGTCATGTTATCAGGTCATTCATTGTCTCTGGAACACCACTGTTGGTGAGACCTTGGGCATCCCTCCTGCTACAAAACATAAATGAAAAGGGAAACTGGAGAAATATCCAAATGTACATAGGATAGGTTATGACAGTAAATTAAAAATATTAGGATGCACCCTAGCTACTACAACATTTAAGAAAGACAGTGCAATATCAGTTGTTTCTGCATAGGAGCCTCAGAATTCACTAGTAACAGATTTTGCCCAAGTTCCCAATGTCAGATATGAATTTTCCCATGTAGAGTGGACCTCAGACCACATTAGAATGTTGGCTCTATCTATAACTAACTACTCTGTGTCACTGTTGCATGAGCTGGCAGATCTCTCCTTATACTTCAATTATGAAACATGCAAGATTTGCAACCTACTAGGAATTTTACCTTAACTCTCTTGGGCAGTCTTAGTATCAACTTATGATACACATGAGATAGTTCATAAGGTGGAGACAAGCTTTATTTACCCAAGTCCTGCAACCAAAGCATATGATGCATTCAGCAATAGGATCTTACCATCTAGCTCTGAAAAAAACACCCAAGAGCAGTGGCATTGACCTTTATTGTTTTAGGGTCTTCTGTGACCTCTGATCAAAAGCTTTAAGGAGGTGAGTCACCTAAGCACTGGGAGATGACCCCCCTATCACTTGGAGTCTCAACAATCTTAAACCTTCTGGGAGCATCTGTTTGCATTCTTCACAAGATATCTTTGTTCATTCCTTAGCATGTACAGGCCCAGGCTGTTGTAGAATTCTCTCAAACACCTTAGTTGCTATATCACTTGTGCCTTACCCAACCAGAAAGTCCACAGCTACATCTGACCTTTGTATCCTCTGTGAACTAAGCTCCCATGCTTGATCTTTCAGGAGCAACACTTAAATGGGTTTCCTGGTTTGCAAACACTCAGAAGTTAGTGACTTATCATTACATAATGAAACCTTTTACAGACACAGACAGCACAATGTTCTGAACCACCATCCCATAATGAATAGCAAAATTACAAATATACCCTCGGCAAAGCACTTTGAAGGTCTATTGTCACCTGTTCAGAGCAAGTGTTAGGCAATCATGTAAGTTCAAAACTAAGAAAAGATGAAAGTCAAATATAAGCAAGGTCTAAATCAGTGTGGAAACAGTTCATCCATTTGTATCTGTTGTTTGGCTAACGTCAATGTTGGGTACAGTATTGTTGCTAGGAGATGTTAACATAATTAGCTCCTCACGAATATCAGTCATTCCCTTTCATCTATTTCACATGCATATCCTAGAGCTCTTCTATGCAGCCTCTTGTATTTCTCCAGCCAAATGGTTTTGCAATTTCATTACAGATTTCATGCATGCTAAGGACAGAAAAAGAATGTCAGTTCAGTTTCTTTAGTAGTAGGCTAGTTCCCTCTAGAGGTCAGTTTCCGAATTTTAGCAGCATCCTATTACACATTCCCTTTTTTCCAAGTTTTTTTTCATATTTTTATTTAACTTTTTACACATGTTACTCTCAGTTCCATAAAACAGTCATTCCCCACAGAAAAGCTTAGACTGTAAGACTTAAAGGAAAAATACTGTAGATGAATTTTGGTAAAAGCCATTTTCGCAAACATTACATTTAATTTTTATTTTAATTATTAGCTTTTGTACCTAGAGCTAGATTTACCAAATAATAAATGGTAGGACTCCTGGGAAATTTTAAACTTCAGATTTAAAAAAATGGGGGCTGCAATGTATGTTAAATGTAGAGGTAGTAAAATATCACTTTGTAAATATCTTTTTGCTAAAATTCATGAAACACGGCCTTTGGGGTGGAATTATTAATCCCTCTGTGAGTAGGTACGTCTGTCCTTGCTCAGTGCTTTGGAGGAAGTGCTGGGAGGCAGCAAGGTCGTGTACTAGTGTTTTCATATGGGACCTCTCAGATGCCATTTCTATATATTTGCATTTTGTTTTGCTGTGTGTGTACTGTATATAATGGACAAATATATCTAAAAATTTCAGCTTCTAGTCTCTAAATGTTAAAGAGGTTGCCAATATATGACAAAGCAGTAAAATTAACATATTGTGTACACTGTTAAAATTTATAGGACAGATTGGTCTGTAAATGATTTGGGGATATGAATTTGTTGCAATTTCTATGCATTGCATATGCCTATATTTGTCGGCTGGTTTGAAGGCAGAGAGAAAGGTGAAAAGAAAAAATGGGTCAAGGCCCATTTCGAAGATACCTCAGATAATAACTATTGCAAAAGTGTTTGATACATTCAAAAGTAGAAGTAGTAGAATAAACTTTGTGTAAATGGATTTTGAAAAACTGGAGATACTATGTTTAGAAGTAGAATTGCTAACCCACCTCTGAGAGCAGTACCAGGTGTACTTGTTCAATGGATTGAGGAGGTGGGGGGGAAGAAACTGCAAAAAGATCCATTAGTGTGCTAGATAGTTTTAGCTTACCCATCACCCCGTATATACATTTCATTTAGATTTGCAATACTGTATATATTGTACATACTGGACAAAGGAGTCCTAATTTTAGTTTGTAGGCATTAAAGGGTATGCCAGTGTATGACAAAAGTACAGTTAGTAAACTAGCCAATTCTGTATACTCTGTGTTAAAGACATACAAGGTTGTCTTCTGAAAGTGTTAGGTGCCAGTGTCATGTGATACAGTGGAGATGGGAGACCAGAATGCTCTTAGCAGAAGACACTTTGAGATCTACCCATTGCTAAATGCGTGTGGTTTCAACACTACTCTGTATATAGGGGATACATTTATGTCCTCGTCTGAAACATCTAGACCTTCTAGGTATTTAGAAGTGCACAAAGTATGTTAAAGATACATGTAGTAAATAATACATGTTCTAGTTTGTCCTGTTTAAAGTTGTGGTGAAATGCTGTCCTTTGGAAATGGAATGCTAAGATCACTTCTGAGCAATATAGTCTTGTACTGGTTTGGGAGGGAGGAAGAAAGAGAGTGTATGAAGGGCCTAATTCTAACGTAAGCTTTGGTAATGCAAGATTAGCCATTATCCCTTTGTCTGTGCATCTTATTTGTGCTGTATACAGAAGATGACAAGTCCAAATATCAGCACTTAGTTTTCCTAGATGGTGAAGGGGCTGCCAGTATGTGATGGAGTAGAGTTAGTGAAAAGATGTGTTTTTAAAGTTGGGTTAAAATTCATAGGGAAAATGCTTAGGAAGTGGAATTGTTAATATCCCCCGAAAAAGAAAATAACAGTTATGTAAACTGGGTTGAGAGAGATGGAAGAGGTTCTAGACAAGAACATTGCTATTTATAGGTATGTGCAGTTTATTTCCTGCAATGCACTGTAGGTATGCTAGGAAAACAAAAGTGTTACTGGAAACATCTAGTCTTTAGACTTTTAAGTGCATAATAGACTTTGTGTGGCAGATGGATCTTGTGAGTTACAGGCCAGCCAGGGAAACATAGACTTTGTCTCAAAACAGTAAGAAGATGTGCATAATGGACTGATGGTAAGGCACTTGCAACCCTGAGTTTTTGCTCCATGACTCACATGATAAAAGGAGAAAACTGATTCACTAATTGTCTTGTAGCCACCATACCCTTACAGTGGCAAGTATGTGCCCACATGTACTAATTAATGTAAAAATGCACATGGAAGAAATAGAGGGTTAACACTTTCTAGAGATTATTATTTCATAGGAATGTTTATGGGGGTTGTTTGGAATTGTTAGACTATATCTTTGAGCAGATGATGTTACCAGGTGGAGATAGATAGGGAAAGAATAGTGCCTGGTGGTTGGTTCCACCAGCCTAGCCATTGTTCTGGTGTGCATTTCAGTTAGTGTGGAATGTTGACAAGTATTAGAGGACAAGTCCAGGGGCCCAAAGAAAGGGCTGTCTTCTGGGGTGGACTTTGTAATACTGGTAGTAGAATCATTCTTGACTGGAGCTGTGCAGAGAAGAGGGATGAAGGAAAAGCTCTTTGCTGGGACCACCACATCTGTAAGACAGTTACATCTGTACCCAGGGATCTATACATGCATATGGGAAGATACCTCTGTTTATTGTGTACAAAATTCATTACACAATATCTGAACTTCATAAATGTCCAAAGGAGAGCATATGGTTAAAAGCATAGCTTCATATGCTGAAATAAAAGGTGACTCTTGAACATAGACTAGCTAAGCCATGCCTGGACAGTGTGAGTTAATTCATGTTGCTAGGTTGACTGGAGGAGCACAGAAAGGTTCACAGGGTGAGATCTGCAGCCCTGTGCTCTGTTGAGATTGACATCCTGAGGACCCATGCCATAGGTACATCTTCAGTGCTCCACAGGAATACATTTATTGAGCAGGAACACCTTCATATTTTAGTATATACATTTGATGATAAACTTAGGAATGTTGTACTTCATTGGTCTGCTGCTTTTTGTTTCTCTCTAAGCTGAGCATTGAGGGAATGCAGAATCTTAATTGTAACTTCGTCAGTACATCTATCTAGAAGCCTGCTGCCATTTTGTCTTCTATGAAATTTTTGTTGCCAAGGAAGACAGGATTACACATTTATCTGACAGACTGAGATGGTGTGGTGTATTCTTGGTTATCAAAATACTCATGTAGCATGGGATTTTTAGTTGGTGAATATTCACAATGCAGGGGAAAGCTTGGTACATACTGTATAATCTCAATTCCCTAAACATATGTACATTTTCAGCATCTGGAAGGACACATCAAACTGAACTGCTTGTGACTGGGAGACTGTTCTTAGCTTCTTGTGTTTTGTTTCCTGTAATTCACATGCTACAAAATAAAAGTTTCTTTTAAAAGCTTTAAAAAATGGGGACTGAAAAATGCCTCGATACACTAATCTGACACCCATATTTATATATTTTCTGGAAAATTTATTTACGTATTTATCAAATTAAGAACCTAAGGATCAAAATCCCACTCTAAGCCACTGTTACTGTCACCATAGTCTGCCATTGGTTGTGCAAGCCAAAAATTCCTGAAAATTACCAAAGTGGTCCCTCGGAGAGGGCACTCAGGTTTAGGCTCCAGGGATGCCGAGGGTTGTGTCTTCACATAAACCAGTAAAATGATCTAACATGCACTCTTCCATGTACAAGAGGCAACTTTCTCTCCCTCACAGAATCCTCCTCTCCCCATCTTCAACCTGATTGTCAGGTAAGGAATTAGCACTCAGCATCCTTTCTCCCAGATCACACAGCCACTGAAAGGGTAACAAAACTTTGTCTCACAGTCAGAGCCCAGGTTTCACATCTTTACCCTAAAGAAATCAGACCAAGCAGGGATGAGTTTGTAGCATGCTAGCAGTGTGTTTACCTAACATGTGAGAAACTCTGGGTCCAGATCCTGACACTACATAAAACTAGATATTGAAGAGCCTAAGTTTAAGGTCATCCTCAGCTACCACACAAATGGTTAGGCCTGAGCTTCGAAAGACCATGCCTAGTATCACATAGGCATTCCCTATGTGGACTGCTGCTTAAGATTATGGAAATAGCATATGTCCTGATGTGGTCAGAATCTCCACAGGCCAATTAAAGTAATATTTCTAAAGCTTTCCAAATAGTACCAAAATCGAGAATGACTGTTCCAGGATGGAGACTGCTCAGCTGCTCTGTGAAGTGTCATAACCACGCATTCTTGGGTGTTTGCTTTAGAGATAGCAGATTGGATATCTTTTATTTTAGACTCCATCCAAGTTATGACTGCCATTCTTGGATTTTCTTGAACACCCATCGATTTTCTTTCACTGCTCCTTTTCCCTAAAAAGAAAATGGTGTGGTGTGTTATTTAAAATCGGAATCCAATGACCTATTCTGAGTTGGATACTCTAGTTTTGCATCAGTAGCACAAAGAACAAATTAAGTGCATGAAAATTAAGTGTGCTGCGGGAATGAATATGTGAAGTCAGTAATAACTGTTACAGGGTTCATATTTAGAGGCTGGAGAGATGGCTCAGAGGTTAAGATCACTTTCTGCTGTTCTAGAGGACCACGTTTGGTTTCCAGAGCCTGGTTGACTGCTAACATCTCCCGGTAACTCTGATTCCAATGGATACAGCGCCCTCTTATGGCCTCAGTGGGTACAATCCTTCACATGCAGTCACATTCAGTCACACACATAATATTTGAAAGTAAATTAACTGTAACATATAAACAATTTAGATCCTTGCTGTGGTTTGGAAGCAGGTCCTGGCACATGCTAGGCAAGTTCTATACCATTCCACATACTCAGCTTTGATTTACACTTGTGTTAGTATTTGTATAATATGATAATACAGAAAACAATAAGGAGTTAGAGATTTTTAATGGTGAACAGTGAAACTTAAGAACAAGGCATGACAATAAAAGAACTTCTGAAAGTATTACCATCCCTCATTTCAAGCTCTATTACAGAGCTATAGTAACAAAAATCACATGGTACTGGCATAAAAACAGACAGGTAGATCGATGGAATGGAATCCAAGACACAGAGACACAAATCCACAAAACCATGAACACCTAATCATGTTCAACAAATGGTGCCAATATAACTTGATGCTGAAATGTAGAAGAATGCAAATAGATCCACATCTGCCACCCTGCACAAAACACAAGTACAAGTAGACCAAGACCTCAACATAAATCCAGGTACACTGAACCTAATAGAAGAGAAAGTGGAAATTTTCAAGAACACATTGGTACAAGAGACAACTTCCTGTACAGAACACCAATAAACAGGCACTAAGACTAATAATTACTAAATGGAACCTCATGGAATTTAAGAGTTTCTGTAAGACAAAGAACACCATCAATAGGACAAAACGTCACCCACAGACTGGGAATAGATCTTCCCTAACCCCACATCTGACAGAGGGATGATTTCCAAAATATATAAAGAACTCAAAAAACTAGATATCAACAAACCAAATAATCCAATCAGAAAGAGAGCACAGATCTCAGAGAATTCTCAATAGAAGAATCTCAAATGGCCGAGAAACACTTAAGAAAATGTCCAACATCATTAACCATCAAGGAAATGCTAATCAAAAGGACTCTGAGATTCCATCTTACACCTGTCAAAATGGTTAAGATAAAAAACACAAGTGACAGCCTATGCTGGAGAGGATGTGGAGAAAGGGGAACACTCCTTCAGTGCTGATGGGAGTGCAAAACTGTAGAGGCAATTCAGAAGTCAGTGTGGCAGTTTCTCAGAAAACTGAGAATCAATCTACCTCAAGACCTAGCTATACTGGTCTTGGGCATATACCCAAAGGATGCTCAATCATACCACAAGGACACTTGCTCACTATAGCATTATTTGTAATAGCCAGAATCTGGAAACAACCTAGATGTCCCTCAATCAAGGAATTGATTAAAGAAAATGTGGTACACTTACAGAATGGAGTATTACTCAACTGTAAGAAACAAGGACACCAGGAAATTTGCAGGCAAATGAAAGGAATTAGAAAAAATATCCTGAGAGAGGCAACCCAGACACAGAAAGACAAACATGGTATGTACTCACTTATAAGTGGATATTAGCTGTAAAGGATAACCATGCTACAATCCACAGCCATAGAGAGACTAGTTAAAAAGAAAGAGAAGGAAGTGTCCCGAGGACTCAGCAAAGGACCCTGGAGAAACATCAGACACTTAAGGTTGATTGCCCACTGAAGTCTTGTGAATTCTGGGAGCTACAGTAATGACTGGTCTAACATGAAACATCCCCCAGTGCAGCAGCAGCCTGAAAGTTATGGGAGCACCCAATCTCTTCCTGATTGTATTTTAAATCCTACAAAACAAGGCCAAACTCATGCCTGCAACTGTTAATTGTTCACAAATCTATGGCTGGCTAGGTTGTAGACTCTAGAGGAAAACTAACATGCTAAATGGACATAGTAACCCAATTTCCTCTACATTCTTATCTTCATACCCATAGGTTAATGTATCTATCAACGTTCCTCAGTGAAAATTTTCTTTGCAATAGGTGGTGAATGATACAGTGACCCACACTGGCCAAGAGGCAGAGAATAAGAGACTGAGTGCTCACCTCTAACTGGGACATCTATACCACATTCCCTCCTTTATAAGTCCCAGGGACCATTGCAGAAGAGAAAGATGAAAGATTGCAAGAGCAATAGGTAGTGGGAATCTGTATGCAGAAAAACCATTTTCTGGACACAACAGGACTACTGCACACATGAACTCAAATCAGCAATGACTACATGCACAAGACCTGCACACGATCAAGTCAGTCAAAATCCCAGCAAGAATGGGAGAAGAGGCTGTCTGAGGTAGTGTTTCTACTGCTATGAAACACCATTACCAAAAGCAAGATGGAGAGGAAAGGGTTTATTCAGGTTACACTTCTCCATCATAATCCATCACTTCTAGAAGAGAAACCAATGCTCTTAACCATTGAGCCATCTCTCCAGCTCCTATCTACCTTTTAAAAACAGGTATCATTCACGTATAAGGTATTCATGAAAAAAATTTAAAAAAACTCCCTAGCTCCAATAATGATCATTAAAAAACTATAAGGCCAAATGAACAAACTAAAATCACATATTGGAAATGCAATCAGAAAGACATACATCAGGGAGGTGTACAGAACACAATCACCTAGGCCTGAGGAGATGACTCAGTGAATATGACTTCTTGTTGCCTATGTATGATGAGTTCAGAACCCACATGTGACCCTAAATGCATGCCTGCAACCCAACTGCTGATAGGGGAGAAGACAGATCCTGAGAGCTAGTTGGCCAGCCAACTTAACCAAAAAAATTCAATACAAAACACTAATGACACATGACACTGTCTCAAAGAATAAAATGGAAAGCAATGGAGCAGGCACCACATGTAGTCTCTGGCTTCCCTGTTTGCACACACAGGCACACATGTCCAAATGCATAAATGCACACACACAATGCAGCCAAATAACTTTTACTAAAGGAAAGAAAAAATAACCTAATTCTTTCAACAAACTTACTAAAGAGGGAAACAGATGATGGAGAAACCTATAGCAGGGAAAGAACCATATTTCGATACTGCTTTGAACAAGCTGTTTTTAAGAGGTTGTTATAGGACAATTAGGGAGACAACCAGTGGCTGTTTCATTCCACTCAAGGGCTATAGGCCAGCACAGTGGCCAACACCATCAATGCAACATTCAGGACGGGATGCTGAGTCAGGAGGGTTTACAGGCCTTCAAGGCAAGCCTGAACTACATAACTATATGGTTAGTCTCTCTCTCTCACCCTTTGTCACTCTCTCATTAATTTATTATAAAACAAAACAAAACCAACCATTAAGGGTAGTGTGTAGCATACAACTGGAGGTCTGGCTAGTCAAGTGGAGAGATCACCGCCTCCATTCAAGACCAATCTGGCAGACAAACATAGAAAGACCCCACTAAGGAGACGCCCCCCACACACACACAACACAAACGTGGTGATATCTTTCTTGAACAAATAAAGTCTATCTGAAGATCAGAGAATGGAAGTTGACACTAGCTAGCCATAGAGGTCTAGAGGTCTGTAGGTCTGTACAGACAGACAAAAAGTGACATAGGTGGGCAGAAGCAGGATACATGTAGGGACAAACAGGAAATCACTTCCTTCTCTGCTGAGAGGCTTAAGAGGTAAGGTACGTTGTGGCTTGCTCCTTCTCTCTGACCCCCAGACAGGCTTTATTTGTGCAAGAAAGGTATCACCAGACACAAAAATAAAATAAAATACATTAAAGATCCAAGTACTTATTCTCTCTTTTTCCCTGTCTTTTTTCTTTTGTGGCATTATTAAGGATTGAACCTAAGGTACAAGTGTTCTATAACTGGACTATATCCCCAGCCCTCGTATGGTTTCTTTTTTTATTTTCCAGTTTAGATTTAGATAAGAAACAAGGTTGCTTCACAAGTCAGTTCCAGGTCCCTCTCCCTTTCCCTCCCCTCCTCCCATGCACTCCCCCAACCCCCCATTATCCCCTCATTCCCCCAGGGAGGGTAAGGCCCTCCATGGGGGTGTTCATAGTCTGTCATTTCATATAGAGCAGGGCCTAGACCCTTCCCCAAGAGTTCAGGGTGAGAGTGCAACTCACATTGTTCTATGGGAGTCCAAAGTCCGTGTGTATACTTGGGATGGGTAATGATCTTCTGCCCAAGGCTCAATAGATTCCCTAGGCCTCCTCACTGACACCCAGATTCAGGGGGTCTTGATCAGTCCCATGCTGGATTCCCAGGCTGATGCCAGGGATTCAAGAGTTAACCTTTGTCAGGTCAGCTGTTTCTGGGGGTTAAACCAGCCCAGTCTTAATCCCTTTGATCATCAGTCCTCCCTCTCTGTTACTGGCTTTCTTGAGTTCAGCTCAGTACTTATAAGGGCCTCTTCTTTGATCAGCCACTAAATGAAGTTTCTGTTTCCCAGACTCTCTGGCCATAGGATTGTAGGCTGGCACTCCCCAGATCTATGTCTAAAATCCATATATGAGAGAGTACATGCCATGTTTCTCTTTTTGTGACTGGGTTACCTCACTCAGGATGGTTTCTTCTAGTATAATCCATTTGCCTGCGAATCTCATGATTCCATTATTTTTTTCTGCTGAATAATACTACATTGTGTCAATGTACCACATTTTCTCTATCCACTCTTCGGTTGAGGGTCATCTAGGTTGCTTCCAAGTTATGGTTATTACAAATAGTGCTGCTATGAACATAGTGGAACAGACATCTTTGTTGTATGAATGGGCATCTTTTGGATATATGCCTAAGAGTGGAGTTGCTGGGT